GTGACATGGCTAAGGGTCAATAAAAGACTGATTATGACCAGATTCACAGATATTATTGGCTCAAATTATGTACTAACCTGTGAGTTTTCTGACTGATAACTTATAAAATATCCTTAATCACCAATTTGCAAAGTATGGCAATATTATGAATATTTAAAACCTATGTTACACCTAAAATTTAATTTAATTATCACTGGGTTTACATCAATTAACAAAAAAAAGTAGCTGTAAACACTTGTTGACAACTATCGTGGTAACTAGAAATGTTTTCTTACTGGTCTAGGAAGTCATCTATTAGTAACAAGATCACTTCCATGTTTATTAAATCTTTTAAATATAATTTCATTGAATCATTATACAATAATCTAATATCTTGGAACTCTTCTTCAATTATATTACATTAATAATAAAAAAATTCATTCAACGATTTATTTTTCTTGCATTAGTCGGAATGTAATAAGTTTTTTTTTCTTCTTCAATAATTGACACAAATAACAGCAGGATTAAAATGTATGTCTTTATTTATATTATCGTATTTACCTTGTTTCTTTTACATTTATTGTATACTTCAAAATGAGATACATATAAACAAGTAAACATGTGATCAATTGGCAAATATCTGTATATCTATATATATTTTATCCTTTCTAAAACCGACTGTTTATAAACTGCACATTTTTACAATGATTATAACTAGATCATTTTGACAGCTGACAAACATGTATTAGTACATTCATATTAACAACCTTTAATAAGTCTTGTAAATTATTTTTATTCTTTAAATTGTTAAGTTCATTCTTTCATAAACAATCTTAAAATGATCACATCTATTAAAAACTTTCAATATTAAATTATTATTTAGATTATTTTGTATACTAATAGATTCCAATAGAAGATTGATTAGATATCTTATTAGATTCTGACAGATAACTATTAATGTGTATAAATTATATACATTTAGATAACTCTTAATGAATAAATAGAAATGAAATTTCAAAACAATTAAATTCATTGACAGATTACAGAACTTAACAAATTGATACTGAATGTTATACAATGATCAACCTATGAACTGCTCACATCATAGATATTTACATTATCTATTTAGTTACAAAAAAGTGAGCAACTTCAAGAAAGTATTATTAAGTATTTTTTTTTCAATTTGAAACTTCTCATCAACGAGTGAAAAATGACTTCAGACGTGATTTTCAAAATAAATTTAGTTCAAGAAAAAAGTATCTCTATAGTTAAGTGATCTACACAGACCACTTTTTGATGATAAATATATACATGTATTCTTGATATTTCAGTGGTATTTCATGACTGATGTTTTCCAGTCTTTAGGTGGGAACTGAACTATTTTAGGACATCCTCCGATCAAATGTAATTATTGTTACCTAACTTTAGATAGGACTTCAGTTTTAGCGCTAATTACAAACCAAGCAAATAAAAAAATTTTCAACTGATCAAGATTTCAGTTAAATTTCCAGTTTGTCCTATTTCATTTTGCGAAGACTTTAATATTCACTTTCTTTTTAAACAGAACAAGATACGAAAGTTCTTTCCAAAATGATGTGAATTTCGATTATCCTAAAAATAGGCTAATAATCATGATCTAGGATATTTTAGACAAGTAAAGGTTGAACATAAGATGGAGCATTCACCGACTGCCCTAAATAAAAATCGAAACCTTGATTCTTGATTAGAATAATTTGCTCTTCAATATGGTTAGTCAATGAAGAGAACATTTGATTACTTTATTCATTCTTATGATTGCAACCTAGTTTATTCAGTTCTTTTACACAACATTATGCATAATATAAACAGGTAAGTTAATATGCATATAGCTGAAATATATCAAGTCAATTTTATGGGGAATGAATTATATGTTGAAAGTCGGTGGTTTAACTTCAGTACGCATATTACTTTTAAAGCAGCTTAAAGAAATACCCACTAGATATGTGTTAGTTATCTTTTGAATCATATTTTTTATAGTTGTTGTTTTTCATTTATTGATCAGACTGCCTCAGACATGTCTTTCACACTATAAATATGCGCATGAGATTCGAGAGCTTCGTTTACCCAAGTTCATTCAACTAGTATGTTGTACTTCAAAGTTTGCTTCGGAAATACCCTTAATGTAGATTAATACATCAACAATGTGATCAACTCTAGATCTAGTTCCTTTCATAGTTCTGACAATGATTTCTTTTATATGTGACTTATCAATATGTTAGAAAGTGGTTCTTTTACAATAAAATTAATTACACATTTTTATTAGATCATTTTTGAAAGATAAATTATTGAGTATTCCAAAGAAAAGACAGATATACACTATGTATTAAAAGCATAATATTGCACTAATTATTAATGCTATGGATGTGACATGTTCTACGATTGAATAATAAGAGATATTAACAGTAGTTGTGACTACTGTTGACCTAGTACATAAATACATTTGTGATTTCAGATGGAAATGATTTTTTATCCTAAATTGTGAATGTTTTATTGAAATTTAGTTTCGAAACCAAAAAGAGGAAATACTTATTCGGTTTCTGCATTTAAGTGAAAAGAATTTAGTAAAATCTCATAGCAAGATAATGGGAGCCGAGAACTAGGTCACGTAGAACTGGTAATGTCCTTTATAAAGTGTGAAGCACATATGTAACATGAAAGTAGCAGGAGGACTTAGTCCGAAAAGAGTGAAGAGCAAGTAACACAGGTTATTTCTCGACACTTTCACTGAACTTGAAGAAATCTTTCAGTTGAACTCAAAGGACGTAAGAAATTTTGAGGCAAGAATAGGCTAAAGCAAAAATAACTAAAATTTCTTAATCACATAAAAACATGGAACGCTACGGGTGACCAATTAAAGCATTACAGTCATATCTCAAGCACCTTTCTTATTCATAAATCTCTCTTCAAGAAAGAGGGTTGCTAGAAAATATATCTATAAAACAGTTAACAATTTGATTTCTCATTAGTTACGTGTATCAGATTGGTTATTTGTATATTATTCCTTCTTGTTGAAGAAATAAACTTTAACATGTATCATCCTGTTTTTGAGAAATATAAATGAATATAATACTTTGTAAATTGTCTTAGATTCGTCTACACAAATGACTAAACTTTTACAGAAAATGATGTTTTATAAAATCTGGCATACATTTGTCTTTTAAACACAATGATTGAAATTAATAACCACATTTTTAAATTACTCCGATGGTAAAAACCTTATCTTCAAAACAATCAAATAACTGAACAGACACAAAATCCCTGTGTCACTATTAATACTAATAGTTTATTCAAAAGTTGTAATTTAAGAGACAGTCCCAGTGTTTACTTTCAGTTATAAAAAGTAAATTAAAGAAAATTTATTTACATTAAACTTCAAATGTCAATCATAATTGGATCTTGACAGGATAATCATTTTATTTTCATCGTGCTCCATTTTAAAGATGTATTACTGATATTTTTGCAATCAGTTACTTATCTATGGTATTAGTCTGTTATTATAATCACAAAAGTGGAAATAAGGGTTTCCGAGAAAGATCAAAGCACTATGAAACCTTCCAACTACTACAACCCTAGGAGCATAATATTGTTCAAACGATTAGGTCATTTACTAGACATTTGTAATTGTAATACGTCTCTGGTAAGTAACATTATGTTATTTAATCTTTGATGATAATTAAGTGAAACTAGTAGTGTGTACACTGCGACCAATTGTTAAAATGACTGGAACATTTTCTGTATTGTCAGTAACAGCTTTCTGTTAACTGTAGTTTTTTTTAATAATTAACACTCGTTAGGAAGTCAATTTAATAGTGCCCTAGCATATTGCACTTTAAACACTAAATTCTAACATGATTCTGTTTGGTAACCTCCAGTCCAATTAACCTATATTGGATTTGATCCAACATACAGATTGGATAGTTATTAACACCTAGATCATAGTGCACAATCAAATGTATTAATAAGTTTCAACATATGTTCACTAAATTACATTCCATCCCATGATAAATGAACAAACGATGTGTGTGCGTGTTTTTCCCTAATCCATTCGGCATACTTGATAGAGTTCATCTGTAAAATATATACAGACACAAAGATAAAATACTATTTCAAAACAAAAAAACCATACACTGAATCGAAATGGTTCTAAATGAACAACTCTTGATGAAAGTACAGAAACTACAAACACTCTCGGCTTATGAGTACGATATAAACAGACAAGTTACATGTATTTAACATTGTTAAAAAGTATCCATAAAAATGATGTAAAGCTTATTGAAATGGGCAACCAAATTATTTTGACTCATGAAGAAAGTTATTAGCCTACAAGTGACTTTGTAAATTCAATTTTTTGTCTAAAGTCACCTGAAATTAATTCGTATTTTGTTGTTTGTTTTGTTACATAATATCGTACATGAAATTGATTCACCTGATTTGAGGTTTCATTGATTAAAATAAAACAAATTTTCTCTCCAGTCAGCATGAAGAAATAAACATGAGTATCTCAAGCATATCTTTTGGCACTCTAAACTGTACGTTTGGTAACATTTCTTATGTATAATAAAGAAGCTAAGTTGTAGTAGCTGGTACTACGTCAAGCTCACATAGGTTGTTCATTCTTCTCAAGCCACATTTATTTTCTATCATTTATTCGCTTATTAATCCTGACTGTTTTTTATACGATCGTGTGTGCATTTCTTATCTGACTCGTCACATATCTGAAACATATTTTTGGTCTGACTATGAATGTCGATTCATGCTTGGCTAAATCGAGTTGCCTCACATGCCTTTTCCGCTACGCGTCATTTCATTTCACTTCGCTTGGATCTTATCCTTTTCGCTTCCTTCGCTAGGATTCTGTGATTGTCTGTTCAGATCAACGATTGTATAAAATAGACGTATTCAAAATTCATTCTCGAATTTGAATTAACAAATCTCGTTATTCACTAACGTGATATAAGTCGATAATTGTATACGAGGATTGACGACATGTATATTTCAATAACAAACGATCTAACTGGAGTCAGATTCCAGGACCACTAAAAAACAATTAACAGTATGTAATATTTGAAAAGGGTTAGATATAGAATTTACGATTCCGAATGAATGGACTAAATGGATCAATACGAAAGTAAGAGTATATTTTCATTGAATAAGATAAATATTGATATTCCATATGAAGTATGATATATTTAAGAAATATACTTATGTATTAGTCAAAAAAACTCCGCCTACAGCCCCTCTGGGGCTACTGCCGGTCCCAAGCCTGAATAAAGGAGGAGGGTTAGGTATGGGGTTAGCGACCCGATCCCGTAGAAAACTAACACGCTAAAAAACACTAACCATAAGAAATAATTTAAACCATTAGTCAAAAGCATTATGAAAATGTAATTTAACATCGAAAATCGAGTGCTCATAATGAAATGTAAACCCATAATTTTTTTCCATAACAGGATATTAATTTTCGAAAACATTGTCTACAAGGAAAATTAAAATTATTAAATCAAATAATTTCATAATCAGTAGGATAAATTAGATGCAAATAAAAGTTTGAATAAGTATTGTTAATTGCATAAGCGCATACAACATTGAAATTCTAGTTACCATTATCAAATTTTATTCTTGTCATTTAGTTAACTGATCACATGTTTTACTGTTTAATTATAATTATTGAATCGATTATTATAAGTAGACGATTAAAATTAATAGATTATGAATCTCAAACTTTCAAACGAACTTATTGTAAAGACTGGTGTTTTACTGAAGTGAGGAAAAGGTAAATAACAGTCGGTTATGTGCTGTTAGATTAGAAAGTTCCATCAAAGTGAGTAGAGATCGGTGTGAGAAACGATATCTTTTCGTCATCTCCGCATATGCTCCGACAGATTGCAGCCCAGGTGCGAATCAAAAATGAGTTTAACCACCAGTTAACTGTTCTTCTCCAGAAAGTGCGTTCGACAGATACTGTAGTACTAGTCGGAGACTTGAATGCTCAGGTCGGGCGTCTAGGCACAGAAGAGCGTCGTTTTGGTGGCCGATGGGGACTTGTTGGTCGCAGGACAGATAACGGAGACCGTCTACTGCAACTGTGCACAGACCACAAACTGTTTCTGGACAGTACTAACTTCTGGCACAGTCATCGCCGATGTACCACCTGGCGTCCTCCCTCTGCATCTCAAGCCTGGACTCAGATTGATCACATCGCGATCAGCTACCGCTGGCGTGGTTGTGTACAAGACTGCCACTCCTTTTGGAGTACCTATCTGAACTCTGAACATGCCTTGATCTGCGCCAGTCTTATCTTACTTTTCAGTGGCCAACGAAGTAACCGCCATCAACGGATTGATATCAACAAGGTGGTTGCAACTTCTGTTGCTAGTAAGTATCGAATCGAGCTAGCTTCTAGACCAGCTACCATTCCACTGAAAAGTATAGATGAGCATTGGTTGCAATTGCTTGACGCCATCAAAATGGCGGGTACAGTCAGTTGTGCGTTCGCGAAACGTCCCGCTTATAAGCACTGGGTTTCTTCACGTTCCTTACAACTCATTGAAGACCGTCGGTCTACTCCGTGTGACCATGAGTTTGACCACAAACGAAGGATGTTACGTAAGGAAATCAGGCAGACCTTGCGTAAGGACCGAGCCACTGACAGCAAGAATTCTGGTGTCAGCGAAACAATCTACAGGGATGATGGGATGCCAATCACTAACATCCATCGACGTATTGGACGACGGGCAGAATCTTTCGAAGGGCAGTTCAACTGAACTGCTGCTCCGGCAACATCGATCAGACTGTCCTGCTCTCCATGATCTGTGACGACGGATTCACTAAATGAGGCGAAAGTCCGCAAGGAACCCCAACTCTTGATGCGCTACAAATCACCTGGCCCAGAAGACTTACCCCCTGCTCATTTTAAAGATCGTGGTGACTTTCTGGTTAAGGAACTGACTGTGTTGTTTACAAAGGTCTGGCAGCTAGAGAGTGTACCAACGTCATGGAATGAGTCGATACTTTTCCCTATCTTTAAAAAAGGTTCACGTCGTCCCTGTAACAACTATCGGGGGATAAGTCTACTTCCGATCGCGTCCAAGCTATTGGCTTCCAACATACTACGTAGGTTGTTCAAAACTCGAGAAAGATTGACTCGCTAGGAGCAGGCTGGTTTTCGTCCCGGTCGAGGATGTATTGATCATATCTTCACCCTCCGACAAATGTTAGAACACCGTCATACTTATCAAAGGTCAACAATCGTAGTGTTTCTTGACATCGAAACTGCCTTCGATTCGTTGGACAGGACTGTTCTCTGGGATTGTCTATTGAAGAAGGGTATGCCTGAGAAGTTTGTTAACATCCTAAAAGCCCTATATACAAACACCTCAGGCAGAGTGAGGGCATACAACCACCTTTCTCCATTGTTCCATTCGAGCAGTGGGGTTAGACAAGGTTGCCCAATCTCACTATTCCTTTTCAACTTTGCCATCGATAACATTATGGAAACAGCTCTGATGGATTTAAGTAATGGCGGTGTGGATCTGTTGTCTGGACAAAGACTTCTCGACCTTGAGTATGTGCATGATATTGTCTTACTGTGCGATAATGCCCAAGGCATGCAATCCGCACTTAATCACTTGGCAATCAATGTCCGTAGGTACGGCATGAGCTTTGCATCTTCGAAGTGCAAAGTACTTCTACAAGACTAGCAGGATTCCAATCCTGTACTCACTCTGGATGATGAGCAGATACAAGTAGTCGAGAAGTTCGTGTATCTAGGTAGCTGCATAAGTGCTGGTGGGGGTGTGAGTGGTGAGATCAATGCACGTATAGTGAAAGCCAGAACGGCTCATGTCAATCTGGGCCATCTTTGGCGCCTTCATGATGTCAATCTGGCTGTAAAAGGTCGGATCTACAACGCGTCGGTGAGAACAGTTTTGCTCTATGCTTGTGAAACCTGGTCTCAACGAGTTCAGGATGTTAGACGACTATCTGTGTTCGATCATCGTTGTCTCCAAAGAATTGCTGACATCCAGTGGCAACACCATGTTAGTAATGAAGAGGTTCGGCATCGTGTGTTCGGACACAGAGACGATAATCCGATTGGTATCACCATCTTGAAACACCGACTTCGGTGGCTTGGACATGTTCTACGAATTTCGTCCCAGAGAATTTCACGTCGTGCATTATTTGCCGACTCTGGGACTGGTTGGAAAAAGCGGAGAGGTGGTCAGTATATGACATGATGTCGTGGTATGAAAGAGTACTGCAAAGGGCTGACTTCTGTTGGTCATTCAAGACTCCCTGGTTTGGGTCCTAGAGATGGTGCAACACAGTGGCTAGAGACGTTATCACATATGGCTCAGAATATAAGCCAGTGGCTATCATGCTATAACGTTCTTTTACTTTCATCATAAAAAGTCGTTGCTTCTTCCTTAACTGAAAGAATTCTTCTGGTTGCACCTTTCCGTTCCACCATTATTATTATTATTATTATTACACTACCTTACACCAATCTGTTCGTTATTGTTCTTTTTTTCTTTCACGCTCCTTACTTTTTTTTCTTTTTTTCCTTGTCTTTAAATTCTCATTGTTTTGTGTGGCGCATATATATTTGGTGTCCTCTTGTACCAATATTTATGTGTTCAAATAAATAAAATAAATTCATGAATGAATATAAATGTTAGGATTATTTTAATGTACAGAGTGTAAAGATTAAAAACGTTAATTTATAACTAGTTGATACGGTTAAGCAGACTATGTGCTCGGTGGTAAAATTTTAAAAAGCGCTCTCCGTATACTCACTTGTCGCTTGTCATGTCAACACCTTAAAATGAATGAAAAAAATTTGTTTCAATTCACTACATTATTAACTTGTTTGTTGCATCGAAAATATTTCAGTAAATTATTCCTATCCTCTTCTGTAAAACAAACATGAATTCTTAAATTGTAAGTAATTTTCGTCTCCTATTTGTGTGTTTTCCAAAAAAAAAATTCAATTTGCCAAACACCTAATAAAGCCTAGTCGGAATTAATCGAATTTGCCATTATACAAGTAGGCTATCATAATTTTGATAAAAATAAATCAATTCCTGAAAAATGTTTTAAAGAGTAAAACAAAGACTTTCTAGGATTAGACCTTCATTTGCAATAGCACTAATATTTTCTAACTTCATGAATCCCAATTATAATTATATGACACTATAATAGTTTAGTTTTACTCTAGTTTTCGAACCATCTCATCATGTAAACTTTAAAAAGACTGATCACCTCAGTTACAAAATGCAGTAAATAAAGCAAATATTGCACTAAAATAATAACACATTACAATATTCCTGAAATATACTAACACATTTTGTTTTCATTCAGACATCTAGGTCTTGCTTATCGTGTGGTTATCAAAATTACAGCGAAACAAATTCATCTACAGACTTTGAGTTGAAACAATCATAAATTCTTTTTAAATTCTATAGTTTCCATGAATATCTATTACAGATTTGCAATTCTGTGAGTTTATGAATGCGTTTTAAAAGACTGAGTGATAGCGCTCAAATTTTAACAAATGAAATAGTTTGAACGCTGCTCCAACTACGTTACATTGTTAAGTAGGTTAATACAATTAGCCTTCATACAATAAGTGTTAAACATGAAAACTTACTTATTCATTAAGTAGCATTTCTATTGTACTATTTAGTACATTTCTTACAAAAGAAATACTAATAACATCAAAGGTAAGTTAGTGAAACAATATTTCATATTTAACATTGAATAGGTTGTAAAAATAATCAAAAAATTTCCTGAAATCCATATACATAAATTGTAATTTTTAGCGAATTTTATAAATTTACGAATGATTAATATACGACTTTGTTAATTTTCTCATTAAAATAATTAAAATATAGATAACAATTTTGATCTGATCTCATCATAACAAGATTATTTCTGTCAATTAATATTTGTATATCTTTCGTTTCTAATTGTCAATTTCATTTCATCAATACTTTTAATGATGATAAATTGTATTTTAAAACTAGTTTTACATAAT